ATAGAAATATGTGACTTATCTAACAAGTCAGCTGTGTGCTTTGAAAATTCAGTTCTGAAGCTTTTTATTTATGGTACAAGAAAACACCCACCAATAAGAGAATATAGGATAATGCTCCCCTACCTACGGTGGACACATGTTAATATGTCCACCGTTGATGTGACATTCAAACATTGGTGATGTTAATATGTTCAAAAAAATATACCACCAATGTGTGCATGCCACATAAACGGTGGACATATTAACATATACTCACCGTGGGTAGGTGAGCATTACTCATAGAATATATATATAAAAAAATTACTAATGATTAACATAATAAAGACATCAAAGTTGCTCACTTTTTACGAAATAGGTATAGCCTCTTAAAAAAAAAATATAGTGCTATATTAAGAAAGAATTTGTGTTAATAAAAAAAAATAAGTACAAATACCATCTCAATTATTAAAATATCAAATTTTAATCAAATGACTTAAATTTGAAACAGAATGAAATAAAATTACAAAACTAAACCCACAAATTCTTCAATTACAATGAATTTACTCATTAGTAATAACAAAATAAAACGTGTCAAAATAAAGCAAATACATATATATTTCAAAAATCAGGAAATTTAGACAAGCCCACAGACTTGTTTTGCACATAGGTTTGGTAAGGAAGAATATGTTTTTGCAGGATCACATCCTTGTCAATGACACACACTTTCCAAATTGGGATAATGTAAAAATTTATATTTATTATTTATATTATATATTGAGACCTTTTGGATTCAGGATAAGATACTTTTTCACCAAAGCTATATTGATTAATGATTACATCTTGTTATTTTATGGATAATGCTCCTCTACCCACGGTGGGCACGTGTTAATATGTTAACTGTTTATGTAGCATACACACATTTGTGGTGTTAATATGTTCAAAAATTATATCACCAATGTGTGCATGCCACATAAACGGTGGACATATTAATATATACCCACCGTGGGTAGGTGAACATTACTGTTTATTTTATTACGCATTTCACGATTATACATTTATTTAAAAGAAACATGTGTTATGCTTAAGTTAAACTCTTGAGGGAGAGTTTTGCCGCCCTTGTGGTCCTACCCAGCTCGATTCCGGATTAGTCGGTTC